TCTAACCTTTATGCGATTGCCTTTACATATAGTTTGTTTGAATGGTTGGTGATGAGCTGTTCCTATAATCAGTGGCCAGTGCCTGGTGAATTGGCAATCTCATGTTGTCACTCTATGTCTCCATGTTTATTTCCGGACGCTGGGGAAATCTATTGTATTGTTGTTCATTCATGATTATCAAGCATGATTATCAAGCACATGATCACACATTTGACTTACCATTGTTTTGTTGTTCATTCAATCAGCATTCATTACTGTCGTTGGCTAATTAGGTTTACCCACAGTCCCACACCCACACCAACCATTAACGACATCCGACTCTAACGGATAGAATTAGAAATATAAAGACAGATACGTTAACTCTGCAGCTTCTCGGTTTGATATTGAACTATATGAACATGGATCACTCATCACTCATCAAGGTGGACGCGGGAAGTGTAAAATAAGAGATGAGATGGTTGATGTTGGAAATTCTATGAAACAAATCCAAGGGAGAGGAATTGGCAAGCAGTCAACGATAGGCAAATGAGACACGTGTAAAAAAGCCAACCCTCTTTCAAGCGCTACAATACAGAGCGGGAAACCTGGAAGCCCATAACCTATTTAACAGACTTGGGTTTCCTCTCTCTCTCTAAACGGTCCTCCCTTTCCCTTTCCTACTACCATGCTTTAGTTTTACCATTCTTATTCTTTTTTTACTACTAATACTATTATTTCTGTTATACATTCTAAGCTTTTTTAATTTTGTTGGATCTTTTCATCTCATACTTTCTTCATAATCGAACAGAGACAGAGTGTATCCAACTCGGCAATGGTGGCTGTTTTTGGTTCCCCATACAATCCAATAAATTTTCCAACTTGCACAAAAACAAGCTGCTATTGATACCATACATCTTGCTGATGTCTGTGATAAAGTGAACATTAATTGAATCTTGATCTAGAGCTTCACCGTTTCTGGCAGTTGGTTCACGCTAAATATGGGTTGTCTATTACCTAATCTGGTGCTTTTTGTCTTTGAAAACATGGATTAGTGTTTTGTTTTTGCTCCTTTTTTGTGGATTGTGGAGGAGGATCAATGGCTCCAGCGACAGATGTATCTCCACATTCAACAAGACTAGAAGGTGGAAGCTTCCAGGGAAGTTTCAATTCAATGGAGGATGAAAATGAAGGCTCATTGGAGAATATGAACCAAATCAACGCTGCCAAACCTCCAAGAAACCTCTCTGCTATGCGCCATTGCACCAGCTCTGCTTGGTTACCTGAACGGGTTAGTCTTATCTACCTTTTCTATCTTGTTTGAGGTGATGCAGAGAAAGCTTTAAAACATTCATGTAAAATAGTTGTCTCTTCTATTTGGTGTAGGAACCAGATGTGCCCGTGAAGTCACCACCATCAAATGAGAATTCTGGCTTTTTACCTGTAGTTCGTTCAGGAAGCTGTTCCGAGAAAGGACCAAAACAGTATATGGAGGATGAGTTTATATGTGTTGATAATCTCTTTCAATATCTTGGTTCGGCTGCAAACTTCCCTTCCCCAGGAGCATTTTATGGGGTGTGTAACTTTTGTTAGGTTAGAATACTTCAATTCATTAAGTGGCTGTTTTTGTAATTTCCTCTTATGTGGAACACTTTCATGAGTAGCATTTCTGGTGCACAATAGATGAAATCTATTAATGCTGCAATTATGGTTGCTAAATGAATTATGCCTATGTATTAGTCACCTTAGTCTGACTGTTTCATAAACCATTTGCATATATCAGGTTTTATCCAGCTGTAGATCATTTTTTTTAACCTATAAACAATAGTTCATTGATGCAATGCACTCAAGTTGTATTTTTTCTACAGGTATTTGATGGACATGGTGGTCTTGATGCAGCATCCTTTACCAGAAAGAACATTCTCAAGTTTATTGTTGAAGACTCCAATTTTGCAACTGGCACGAAAAAGGCAGTTAAGAGTGCATTTATGAAGGCTGATCATGCATTTGCAGATGCTAAATCTCTCGATAGCTCCTCTGGCACCACTGCTTTGACTGCTCTCATATTGGGAAAGTAAGAAGCTAATGCTAAAATCTACCTCTTATTTTAAACTAGATCTTCATGCATTCCGCTGTTCGACATTGGTATGACACAGGATGGTTTCCTTTTGTCTATTATTATTGTCGTGAAATGATTTACCTGTGATTGTTTCTGCCAGGACCATGCTCATTGCTAACGCTGGGGATTCTCGAGCAGTGTTAGGTAAACGAGGAAGAGCAATTGAGCTGTCTAAAGACCACAAACCCAATTGTACCTCTGAAAGATTAAGAATTGAGAAACTAGGTGGTGTTATATATGATGGCTATCTCAATGGTCAGCTTTCCGTAGCACGTGCCCTTGGAGACTGGCATATTAAGGGCTCTAAAGGGTCAAAAAGCCCCTTAAGCTGCGAGCCGGAGTTGGAAGAGGTTTTCCTGACTGAAGAAGATGAGTTCTTGATAATGGGCTGCGATGGCCTTTGGGATGTGATGAGTAGCCAATGTGCTGTTACAATGGTGCGGAAGGAGCTGATGCAGCATAATGATCCTGAAAGGAGCTCAAGAGCACTTGTCAAGGAGGCACTACAACGCAACACCTGTGATAATCTAACTGTTGTCGTGGTCTGTTTCTCTCCAGAGCCACCTCCACGGATTGAAATTCCTAGATCGTATAAGAGGAGGAGTATATCAGCTGAAGGGCTGGATCTCCTTAAGGGTGTTTTGAACAACATATGAGCAGGAATTATCTACAGCTTGTACAAAAGTGGAGTTTATACCAACACCACCACCCCCCCACCCCCAAAAAAAGAAAAAAGAAAGGAGATTATAACTTGGTGGGGCGATTTTTCTGAACAACTGGTCCCTCCAGCTGCAGAGTTGATGATTTCTTTCTCACACCAAGAATCCTGGATATCTGATGTACTTCATATTTTGGATTTTCTGTCAGTAATCTTTGTGCTGTAGCCCTAAACTGCTAATAAGTTGCCTAAATTTTGGTCGTGTCAACCTCTACAAGTTTGATATTGGTTTCAGGATTTCAGTGGCAAAGCTCAAAGTATCAGCAAGTTTGAGGGACTACAGGAATATTGTGTTTTTCTTTGTAAAAGTTTACTACTATCAAGACACGTCAAGAACCTGTAGTGAAATTTTACAGCGCGCTGAGAGAGAGGACAAATCTATCTAAACACTTCATACTCTATCTAACAATCTGCTATTCTTGAACCAATCAAAACACAGTTCAAGTAGGATTCAATTTCACGTTTGTTGTATTAGAATGGTGACTAATACTACAAGAAGTGTTTAAAGACCTGTTCCTTCATATCAAAATTTTGTAGTTTTTTGACCCACAAGTTCAGCTATCTTGAAAGCTAACTCTGTGTGCCATGGTTTCCAACATGGGCCAAATGGGGCAGCAAACCCAATTCATTGAGCCCAAACTGCTGTTAAGTAGCACGCACAAGCAACAAGACCCTGCTCATTATTCCTCACACACGCCAAAAACCCAAAGAAACAAACGGAGGCATGTCCACCCTGAAGGAGATCCTAACCCGGCGGCCGGTGGCAGCCACCATCAGGCTGACTGTGCCAGCGGGAGGAGCACGACCCGCGCCACCAGTGGGTCCTGCCCTGGGGCAGTACCGGCTGAATCTGATGGCCTTCTGCAAGGACTTCAACGCCCGAACCCAAAAGTACAAGCCCGACACTCCCATGGCCGTCACCATAACCGCCTTCAAAGACAGCACCTTCGAGTTCATCGTGAAGTCTCCCTCCGTGACATGGTACCTGAAGAAGGCAGCGGGCATCGAGTCCGGTAGCAGCCGGCCAGGTCACGTGATGGCCACTACGTTGTCCGTCAGACATATTTACGAGATTGCCAAGATTAAGCAATCGGATCCGTATTGTCAATACATGTCCCTTGAGAGTATTTGTAAGTCCATTATTGGGACGGCTAATACAATGGGGATTAAGGTGGTCAATGAGTTGGATTAGTTTGTTCATTGGTCTTTGTCAAACTCTTGTTACTGCATTTGTTCTCCACCATGTTCGAAACATTGTCTGTGTGGGAAGTTGTTTCATTGTCTTTGAGACCTTTGACATGTATTTGTCGGATGATTTCTGCAACTTTCAAAGATTATTTCAATTCAATGCTTCACATCTCTTTGCAGCTGTTTCAATTACCAACAATTCAATACAAGTTAATCAAACACTGTTCAAATCTAGTAATACTAGTGTCATTTCATTTTGAATGGATGTCTGCATCTTCACCCAATGCAATTGAAATGGAAGCTTAAGCCAGGAACACGATGACTTTGGATCTTGAGATAATACGGAATTGCACTATAAGATGAAGGAGAAAGGCTGCTGCAGTTACCGGGCGTGGCATCCTTTTAGGAAGTATAAAATTTTGTTCAACCTCTACTCCCCTAGCTATTTAACATTACTCTTCCCTTTTATGATGAATTAAAACCAATCCTTAACAAGCATCTATTGTTCTAATGTTTTGTTTTTGTCCCAGTGAAAGAAATTGTCCTTCACATCTCAAAGCCTATTATCTAAAGGCTTAAATCTGTAAGGAAAATAAAAAGAGTATTTCTAACTGGAACATTCATCAGCTTAAGGAGGAGGCCTTTTCTCGCACGCCAAGTCGGCGCTAAAGTGAGTCCCATGCCGAAGGTCCCACACCTTCGGAGTTGGAGGCTTTCAGCTTTGTCAACGATAGAAACCCATCGTTATCTAAAATCATTGCCCAGCTTTCATCATTGTCTAAAACACCGGCTCTCATCTTCGTCTTCCCTTGGCGTCCCAAGTCATGAGCATATTGCCCATCTGATACTAGACCAGAAATCAGCAGAAGCAGCTCTGCAAACCTTCCATTGGGCTTCAAAGCTCCCAAATTTCACTCATTCGCAATCCACCTACCGTGCTTTGATCCACAAGCTCTGTGCTTTTCGCCGTTTCAACACTGTCAAGGAACTGCTCGACGAAATGCCCACCTCAGTAGGCGTGCCGCCAGCTGAAGATATACTTGTCGCCCTTGTTCGGGGCCTGGGACGAGCCCGGATGGTCCGGGATGTCATCAAGGTTCTTGATTTGGCTCCCAAATTTCACAGCACCCCTTCTTTGAAGATTTTCAATTCAATACTCGACGTTCTTGTTAAGGAAGATATCGATTTGGCTAGGAACTTTTATAGGAAGAAGATGATGTCAACTGGTGTTCAAGGTGATGATTACACTTTTGGGATATTGATGAAAGGTCTTTGCTTGACTAATAGAATTGCCGATGCATTTAAGCTTTTGCAACTCATCAAGTCCAGCCCTGTAAAGCCAAACACTGTGATGTATAACACTTTGATTCATGCTCTATGTAGAAATGGCAAAGTTGGGAGCAAGAAGCTTGATGAATGAGATGCAGGACCCAATATCGTTACCTTTAAGTGCTTGATTTCTGCTTTATGTAAAGAAGAAAATTTAGTTCAAGCCCTTGTGTTGTTGGAGAAGAGCTTCACCATGGGATTTGTACCGGATGTCATCACCCTGACCAAGGTGCTGAAAATTCTCTGCAATGCTGGCCGTGTAGCAGAAGCCCTTGAGATTTTAGAGAGAGTTGAGAGCAAGGGAGCTGTAGTTGATGTGTTAGCTCATAATACTTTGATAAATGGTTATTGTAGAATAGCAAAGGTGAAACTTGGGCAGCGCCTTTTAAAGGAGATGGAGCGTAAGGGCTGCCTCCCAAATACTGACTCATATAACATACTGATCTCTGGTTTCTGTGAGTCTGGCATGCTGGATTCAGCTCTGGATATGTTCAATGAATGAAGACAGTTGGGATCAGTTGGAACTTTGTTACATATGATACATTGATTAAAGGACTCTGTTCAGGAGGGAGGATGGAAGATGGCTTTAAGATTTTAGAGCTGATGGAGGAGAGTAAGGGTGGTTCAAGGGGCCATATTAGACCTTATAATAATGTGTTGTATGGTTTGTACAAGGAGAATCGTTTGGAGGAAGCATTGGAGTTCCTTTCCAAAATGCAAAATTTATTTCCTAAAGCTGTGGATAGGAGCTTGACGATATTGGGGTTTTGCGAGGAGGGCAGCATTGAGGATGCAAAGAGAGTTTACGATCAGATGGCTGGGGAAGGAGGGATTCCAAGTGTACTTGTTTACGATTGCTTAATTTGTGGATTTTGCCTAAAAGGGTGTGTGCGAGACGCAGTTGAACTGATGAATGACATGGTTGGCTGTGGTTATTTTCCAGTAGCATCAACATTCAATGCTGTAATTAGTGGGTTTTGCACTCAAGGTAAATTTGGTAGTGCTTTAAAGCTAATGGAGGACATGGTTGGAAGAGGTTGCATACCTGATCGAGGGAGTTACAGTCCATTGATCAATGCTCTTTGTATGAAGGGGGATATTCAGAAGGCTGTAATGCTTTTGCTACAAATGTTACAAAAGAGTATAACACCTGATGATTTGACATGGAATTCAGTACTTCTGTGTCTTAGTCAAGAAAGAGAATGGTTGAAGAGCAAGAAGGCGTTGCATGTAAATAACCTATTACAGAGGATTATTGAGACCTGAAACATTGGCGTGACTGACTCATCTCATTCAGAATGATCTTTGGGATACATCACCACTTGCTCATATTGAAGAGATTCTTGAAGCGAGGAGCCAAAATGTTCATGCTTATGGATGTTAGAACTAGAATCAGAATAGCTGGAAAAAAATAAGAAAATAAGAAAGGGATGTAAGGTGAGGATTCTTTTCTTCAATAAAAGTCATAGTTCTAGCATTGCCAGTGAAGTTTTCGAGTCGATTGTCATTTAAATTCAAAAACAAATGTAATTGTAGCACAAAATTTTAAAAATTCAGAATTCGGACGGGTTGAAAGGGTATTATGCTGAGCCTATGAATTTGCACTTTATAATTGTGTATTCTCCCATGTGTGTTC